TGTAGACACCAAACATGTCATTTAGCTACTGGATCTATTGCATGGATTCTTGCTTCCATACCAGCGTGTTGCAGTGGCCTGTAATTCCCCTTTTGGTCATTTGGAGATATTGCCATAACACACACTTCCTTCAGTAAGAGAATCTAATAGATTCAAAGATTATTTGCTGTAGTTAGTATTTCAAACATTTTATAGCTGAGTTTCATGACAATTAGTGGGAGAAATCTGCAGGTACAATTAATTTTGTATGTTTTATGCTATAATGCTTACAAAGACTATGATTTCTACATCACCATAACATTTTCCAAGAAATGTTTTGTTTAACTCAAAGTGTTGATCTGGTTTCTCACAGGAAGCAAAAAGAATGTACCATCCAAAAAAAAAAAATAAATTATAGCCACGATGACGGTCTCATATCTGAGAGTCCTTTGGCTAGTCAGGAGTAAAGGAAGAATATCTCTAGCCTGGCTGGTGAAAAAGTTTTACTTTAACACATTCTTATATCTATACTAAGTCTCAAGAGACAGAATAACTATAGCTTGTGGCTCCATTAAAGAAGCCACAGCATCAATGCTTTCCACTCTCTCGTGGTAGATTAAAAGGACATGAATCAGCCTGAAGGCTGGATAATTACATATTTACATAAGCTGTTTCAGGAGGTTTGCTCTGCATGGTTTTGCAGTTTTGGTTTCCTCATTTGCTGGCAGGCTCAGTTCAGCTGCAGACTATAAACAGAACGAGGCTCATCATAATTTGTACAGAGCACAATCAAACAGAACTTCTTATTATGTACGTGCAGTGTTTCCTGGGGACTACAAAGTGCTAGAACTTTCATAAACTGGTTTATTCAAATATCTGCTGCAGTCCAGACACTGTTCCTCAGTGCACAATCATATTCTGAAAGTTACTTATGGTTCACTGTAGTTAAATACAACTTGCTAAAACTGACAATGAATAATTTTAGGGATGGAACTCTTACCAAATAAGATTATTTGGTTGCTTACTTTGCTAATCCATCGATGTAGCAACCATTCACAGTGAGGCTGTAAGATTTATCACACCCTTTGTGTGCAATCTTTTTGTTCCCTGAATAAGATCAAAAGCTAAATCATGCAAAAAGGCAGAGAGGAAGGTGTAATAGAAACTCTGCACTTAAGTAAGATGAAAAATAGAAGAAATTACTACAAACTATTAAAACACTACAGGTGATTGTTACATAAAGCATGAAAGTAGGAAATTCCCTACAACTAACTATAAATTGTTTATTATTGTGATTGATACTGTCTTCCCTTTAATGTTTTGATGCATATTTCAACTGCTAAAATTTGTCTGAGACACAACACATATACTCGTATGTGATTTAAGTCTAACATAGTTGTCACCACAATTCCTCAGGAAGACCCCACCTTCTTTTCAACCCCAACTCTCCCTGAGTGAGCTGACAGACCATGACACAGCAATGTGCCAGAGACACAGTCCTGTCACCTGATCCTTCAAGATACACAACCCTGAACAATATGGGAGTTATTAATGGTGAGGTTATTCCAGCACAGCAGCACAAAGCACTGTCTTTTGCTTCACCAGCCCCTTTCCCACCTCACTTCCCTGCACAGATCTGGGACACTGACGCATATGCAGCCTCTTTGCCCAATATGCAAAGATGGAGCTAAGCTACAGCTGTCCTTCCCTTCTCTTGGCACTTCTCCCCGGTCAGATCCCTGTTTTCTGTGAAGGAGTTTTGCTAGGACAGAAGCTCTCAGAGGGTGCAAGAGAGAAGACAACCTCAGGCTACTCAGTGCTAACCTGTGGTGCAGCATTTATCAAGGGAGGCACGATCTTCCAGACACAGCTTCTGGTCCCCTCAGCACATTCAGATCAGCTGAGAAGTAAGTTAGTCAAGAGAGAAACCTTTGCACAAAACCCCCTCAAATTACTGTTTTACTAAATTTAAATTTGGTACAGCAAGGTTCAAATAGCATCTGCTTTTATGAATACAAAAGGTAAAGTTCCAGAATATGGTGACAAAAGATCAGGAGTTCCAACTCAGGGTTTCCTTTACATGAATCTGACAGCAGAAAAGCATTGGCTTGTTTTATACCACCTCTGAAAGTTTTGTTGCTTCAAAATGTGTATTTCAATAACTAGAGACAAAATTTGAGTAAAATTACTTGTCAACAGAAGTACAAGAATAAAATGATTCCCTTAATTGTATAAGAAATTATTGTAAAGGTATACAGCTGCTGAAACAGATTTGCAAATACATTTACAATATTCACATTATCCAATTGGGAGTGATAGTGTAGAGGAAGGAATAACTGATGTCACCATGGATGTCAGCACGATATTGTACTCTTGGAAGAGATTAACAAACCTTTTTTTTTTTTAAAAGTTTGTTTATAGTCTACAAGAACTGGAACTGTAGTCACTGTTTCTGCCTTTCTCTGCACCTCACAGAGTTCACATATGTTCAGTGACAAGTAACCTATTCCCTTACTCACTCCTACCCTCCCAGTCCACACTTGGGATGTCAAAGTGCTTTAGCTGCAGATTTATTTCTACCCTAAGCAAGGGATAGATGCATTTAAAAAAACAAAAAAACATTAAAAGCAGAAATACAATGTCAAGGACAACCTCCAATGCTGCAACCATGGACTACCTCTTCCTCCTGCTTCACATAAATGAAATTCCACTCCCTGCTGCAGAACCTATTCACGAAGTTCCCAATGAAGACCAGCAGTGGTACATGGGCCATCACCATTCCCCATTTTTCAACTTAATTAAAAATAATCCAAGGCCAGTCGTCATAGAAATGGTGTTATGATTTTTTTTTTTTTAAGTCAGCCTTTAACAAGCTGTTGATTATGGAAAGCAGGAAATGTGATCCGAGGTGGCTGAAGGCTGGTAGCAAGGCATGTAAGAAAAGAATGCACAGACCTTTTGGCTGCTCCAGCCTCTGGAGGCTCTGACCACAGCAGTGATTTGATTTCATGCCTGCTCTGCACAGATAGCTGACATTACTAAATGCTACTCCAGTATCAACTTGTTAAATTTGAACCCAGACTCAGCATATCAATATACTAGGCCAGACTAACTGGAGTCAAGGGAAATATTTTGGGAGTTGTTTATTTTTAAATGAGTCACAATACACCATGATAATTAACTGCACTATGCAATTAAGTGACTGCCATAAAATCTGTTATATTGCTCACAAAGACTAAGAGGAAATACAATTGTATTTTCCTATTTTATTCCAGTGAATTGCTGAACTGTTGTAAGGTTAACTATAGTTTTTGCTTAGTTTGGTGGGGGAAGCTTTTACATTTTTTTATAACATATTTTATAGGATATTATAAAAACTGACAAGGGCCATTTGAGGACTGAAAGGCTCCTGTACCTGTTGTTGCATAAAAGAATCTGAAACAACTGTACTGCCATAAAACCTTTAGTGCCCAGTTTCCTGATGTCAGAGATCTTTTTAATTTGTATGTAGACATGAAAAGTACAAGATAACTACAACAATTTTGGATTCAGACTCTTTTTTCCCCCCATTTTTTATTTTTAAAATTGTCTCTCTCATCTTCTAGTCAAAAGATGAAATCTTAAGGATTCAAGAGGCTTAAAACACACTGCCTCAATAACACAGTAAAACTGCCACATGCTATAAAGACAAGTCTCAGATTTTGTGTCAATCCATTGTAAACATCACTCCTGGGAACCAAAACAAACTATTGTCAGTCCAGTGTCCCAGGAGATGTTCTGGAAATGTCAGCTAACGTGTCTAATCCTGAACCTGGATTCTATCTAAACAGAATTTATTGAAATTCATCCAGTATTAAATTATATAACATCTTTTATAGCAACTGCCATTAAACATAGAGGCAGTGCAAGTTAATGAGAAATGTACTTGAGTGCATGAATCAACATTTTTTTCCCCACAATATACTTTTAAAATAATCTTACTAGTTTAGAAGAGGACTGTCGTAACTATAGATCTTTGTCATAAAGCCTTTTGCTTAAACAAGCAGGTTAGCTAAATGGTAGCAGTGTCAAATCATAGAGAATGAGATCATAAAACAAATTTAGTACCCATCAATTGCTGCACTTTTATCAGCATTCATAATTAAAACTCATATAATATTCAGATTATTTAAGTCTTCACAATGCTATTTAAACAAGTCTTAAAATCCACCTTTCATGTGGCTTATGCTTTACTAACAATATAAACTGCCTTAAGAGTTAATAAGAGCAAACACTTCTGTCATTTAGCTGGACATTAATTTCATTACAAAAAAATATATTTATTTAATATAAGCCTTCTAGACCCAAGTACTACAATTTGAACAGCAATGTTGTTGGGAAAGGTTTTAAGTTACAGGACTGCTCAGGCTGGACTAGTGGTTGGAAGGAAGAAAAAAAAAAAGGGAGAGGAAACTCTGAAAATTCCTGTGGTTCAGGGTGTATACAGAAACAAATGGTATTTACAGTTTCTCTGCTCAAATATTACTTATCTTTAATTCTAAATACAGCAAACTCTTCTGTAAAATAAAGCCTATATGAAATAAATCCTAAACACTACAGTAATCCACTCATTGTATATGCAAACTTTGGTAATTACTATTCATTTACTGAGAAGTTATGTGTTTAAAACTACAAAACTTAATCTGAAGTTTCAATAACTCCCATGTCTAGATAACTAGAAAAGAAAATCCCTTTGAGTTCAAGTAAACAGGAAATTATTGTTTATAATGTATTAGATACAGGTATTTCACTGTTAAGACCTACTCACCTCTGCTCCTGTATGTACCAAATTTTAAGAAACAAATCTAAACCCCAATTTTTACAGACAATACAAAAATTAACTTCCGAATGGTGGCAATTTGACACCATTAGGAAATTCTGAAATCACTGCACCTGAGTCTCAATTGCAAACTCTTATTATTTTCCAGCTATATTCCAGCTGTAAAATAGTGTCACAGTTTCCTATAAACCAGAACACTCACCTTATGGGGCCTCCACAAAGAAGTACTAGACATTTCCTTTTTAGAGGTTCCATATCTTTTCTTAACACCAGTTGTTTTTCCTTCATTCCCAGGTTTGAACTGTATGTGCAACTGAGACGTCCTTGCACTGTGACACTTGTATTTAAAGCTGGATAAGCAGCAAGAAACTTTTTGACGTGATCCTTCTAAGGAAACACTTCTTTGCAAAACATGGGGAGTTTTGCTCATCTGAACATTCGGTCTTTCTAGTTCATTTATACTAATCTGGTATTCTGAATCTATTTTTGAGGGCAGACAAGCAGATGTGCTACGTTCCAGTCTTAAATGAGGGTATTTTGCACCGGAGTTCAGATTTAACTCTGGACTGCAACAGCCATTAACCAGCTCACTGCTCGATGCAAACGGTCTTTGGTTGAGATGAACTGAAACGCATGAGAAGCCATCAGACATCTCTTCACAAGTTGTCTGTTCAGAACCACTCAAAACTTGACTTTTGTCCTGTAATGATGGATTCAAATAAAGCGGTCGGATGTCTCTGACTTCGCCAGCAGAGCAAACTGTTTTAGACAGTCTAAGCCCATTGACTGCTGTTGAAAGGAATCCCTTGGAAGTGGTTGGATCTTCTTTTTGTGCCAGCTCATTAGGAGAAATAATTAGTCTATGAGACGTTTGATACATGCCTCTATGTGGTGGTTGACCTGAGTTTACTGGAGAAGCTGGAGGAGTGCTGGAAGGACTCCTAGGGAAAATAACCAGTGATGAACAACGCCGCAATGGAATTTTCGTTTTCTTCCTCACCGACACAGCATCTTGGTCAAAAGTAGTGCTACTTCTACACAGAGTTTCCTGAGATGAGGTGCTCCTGTAGGGATTACATTTGTTTGCAGTGCTTCTATATGAAGAATCACCATGTACAACACTACTACAGAAAGTGCTGTCACTTGACCAAAGGGTGCCACTGCCACTGTCACTGATGACACTGTTACTATAGGAACCTCCATCACTTGTGGTACTTGCACATGATCCGTAGTCACTGCCAGCGCTGCTAAAGGATCCACTGTCACTTGCTGCAATACTGCTGAGGCTGCCTTTGCACAGAGCAGCACTGCTCAGGAGGCTGTCATTAGATCGATGATCGACCGCAATCCGAGCACCACAATTCCCTTCATTACCAATTCCAAGGAATGAAGTGTCTTCTCCAGCAGCTAAGGCATCGCCAAAGCGAGAACATCCACTGTGCTTTCTAGACTGCAGGGAAATGTGCAGTGAACTGCTCTTTTTTATTTGCAATGAAGAAATAGTTGGGTTTTTCTCCTGATTAATGACTTGTTGCACTACAGGTGCATAAGCAACCCGTCTGGGAGTCAGTTTCACTTGTGTAACATTAGGTGCAGAATTCTGTGATTTTTTGAAGTACATACAATTATTACTGTCCAAAACATCTTCTGAGGTCTCTGATAATGGATCTGTGTTGCTTCTTTGGGTAGCAAAATGCAATCTTAACCGCCGTGCCATTTGTTCTCATTTCCACGCATGTTAGCAAATGAAAACCACAAAGATCCTTCAGCAGAAAGGCTACAGGCAGCTGCACAGAACCCAGAGCTAGCACATCCAAACAGTATAAGCCCATAAAAGCTTCAGTCTTTGTCCTAATTTCTACAAGATACTAGCATTTAAAAAAAAAAAAAAGTACCTCTCGAAATGTCAGCCATTCCTTGAACTGCAGTTTCTGGACCGGCGCTGATTGCTGGCAGTCAGAGAGCACTCATTTAAAAAGCACTTACGTTCCAACGACCTCGGCTGCGACACACTGACAAACACCACTGACCTTGTTTCAATTATACCTTCTGTAATTTGCATAAATGAACACAATAATAAGCTTCCAGAAGTTCCAAGTTTAACACAGCAACGCCGGCTGCGGCTGCACGAGCTGAGTCAATGTGTCCGTACTTTCCTCAGCAGCGTATGACTACTAATATTTTTACCCATAGGTTTAGAATTACAGGAAGTTGGTAGGAATGAAGTCCCATATAATTGAGTATCAAGTCCAGGATTGAATTTCCAAATAGTAACCATGCTAGCAAACTGCTGAAGTCTGAATTATGCATAAACCAGTGAAATAAGCCTCCTCCTCGCCTTAAGAAAAGGTTTTTCTGCACTATTTAAAAAAAAACTCGAAAGGAATCTGGCATTATCTCACAATCCACATGCTGCTAAGCAATCACACTTTCTACAGATTTGCACACAGCAGAACCCTCTCCTGTCTATTAACTCATAATTTTCAATGAGGTGCAACTGAACTGGAGCAACAGAAAGTTATTTTGGTTAATAATTTGGCATTTATTTTCAGCCAACCATGTTAACCTTCTATTTCTATTTTGACCTTTTCAAACTACAGCTGTTAAAAGGCAGAAAAAACCCAATTACTCCTACAGAGTGAACTACCTCATCCTGTTTGCTGGAAGCCCACAAGAAGGAGACATTCATTAGAGTTCAGTATGGTTTGCAGATATATGACCAGCTACACAAACTTTAGAACACTGAGCTAAGTACGCACAGAGATAAATAGCATTACCAAACACTATTACAGGAGAAAGGTATTCTGTATAATTATATACAAACTGTCTCATACATTCATAGCTAATTAGTATTTTGTTACTTTTTATTTTTTTTAAATACAATGATCAGCGTGTCAAGAAGTTAATATGCACTGTCAACTCTTACAAAAGTAACGGGGTTGAGAATTCCTACAAAATGTTTCGCTGGCTCATATAACTGAGAAGGTCCTTTGCTGGCACCTAGTGGGACTTTTGAAAAAAGACAATCTTGAATCTTATTGTTGGGTGGGATTTTTTGTTGTGGGTTTTATTTTAAAAAACACAGACATTTGGCTATGAATGTACTTTTGAATACATAAGCCACGTATGATGCAGCACCGAACATGACTGCACTGACATGAAATTACTTAGTGCTGCTGAAAAAGTACAAACAGAAGAGAACAGTAGACCATTTATACTTTTATAGGTCATACTACTTGGAGTTTTTTCTGCTTCATATTTATTTAACCTTTACTGTATTTTAAGCTAGAAGGCAGTAAAATTAACATTTATACCTCCTTCCCAAAAAAGAGCCAAGAATCAAATTCACAGTACCTTGTTTGCAAGCAACAAATTTGTTTTCTAATTATACTCCAGGGCTTACTTAACCTCCGTTACCTGAATTCCATTATTAGAATGAGCAATAAATGAATACTGGCTTATTCATAAAAAGCCAACAAATACAACACTTCATTTATTTCATTATGCTTAACCAACAGGACTTTTCTAATGTTATAGTTTGGTGGGGGACTGGGATGGGGAGAGAAGAGGAAAGGAAAAAAAAAAAAGATTCTTTTAATCAGTTTCGAAAAAGTTACATTTGAACTTCAAGCAATATATTTAAACAAACACACAAACAAAAACCCCCCACCTAAAACAGCAAGAAGCCACCACCCTAAGATATGTGAGTGAAGAGTAAAAAGTGCCTTTCTTAAGTCTCCTTTTCTCCCCAACAAAAAATGTACAGGTATAGCCAGCCAACCACAGCTTCCTTAGGCAACATAAAATGGCTTCTAAAATGCAAAACTCAATCTTGCTGATTTAGAGTTGACATAAAAATAAAATTAAAATTAATATTTTTTTTAAAATACCAATAGTTCCATTCAAATCTTCTTCAGCATCAGTAACAGATTTAGGCACTTTGTTTGCAATATACATAGTTGTGACAATTTACTGCAAAACAGAAAGAGAGCAAAAAGTCATCTAATCCCTTCAGTGATTTATCTCCTAAGTGATCTCACTGTCCTTCTTGCCAGATTTTTCTAATGTGTTTTTCAAAACAACCATAATTAAAGACTCCACAAACTGCTCAAGCCCTTTATTCTACTAAGGGTTTGCACCAAGTCAGAAGAACAAACCAGATTTAGTGCTCCCTTACCAAACCCAAGACAAGTGATCTTTGAAAGGTTTTAAAGCTATTACAGAAAGCTGTTAAAACTGACTGTTGGTGATATAACCAATATAGCAAGACTTTGAATTTAAGCCAAACACTGAAGGAAAGTTTCGAGGCTGGCTTTCAAGAAAACAACTTTTCTTAAAAACAAAAACCAGAGATTTCAGCCTTCCATTTATCCCCAAAAGTTACAGGAAGTGAAAGCAATTGGGATAAAATTTTCTACTGAGGAAATTATCCATAGGGAGGACAGTCTCACAAATGTAAGAATATTTCAGTTTTATCAGCCTGCTCACATCCAGAGTTTAAACAGTCATTCAACAGGAAGATGAAAGAACATTGAAGCCCACTAATATAATGAAAAATTAAACAAATTTTGATCATTGATGCTTAGCAAGGCACCTGTGGTTTTTGACATGTGAGAAAGAATGAATTAATAGAAGTGGGAGAGTTTGTCAATGCTAAACAATCACAGCTATGGCAACAATTTGTCTTACTTAAACCAGCTCAAGACACCTGGGATAAAAACACAGTGTTTCTGAGAGAAAGCTAAAGAGAAACAGGGAGATGGCCTGCTCCATTCACCAAATGAGGAGATGGATATGCTGAAAAATATAGGGGGGTTTATTGTAGAACTATCCAGTGACTGATGAGGTCATGATGCCTCTAAGTACAATCACACATGGGAAGCAAAGCACCATTTCCTAGCTGATGCCAACAAAAGGTTTAACTGCTTCTTCTCACATAAGGAAACAGTCAAACAACTTATCTACTCTAAATTAGAGAAAGAATGCAAAGGAATTCTCTTGGTGGAAGCCACAAAGAAAACAGTGCCCTTCTCCCAGAAAAATGAAGAATCTGACTTTCTAATCGTGCCTCGAGGCTTCCAGGCGGTGGCAGTAATGTTCCAGCGAGGCATCCCGATGGACAAAGCACTTGGACCTCACGAGGGATAAACTGCAGCCCACAACAGTGTGGAGATGAAAATCTGAGCATCCTGACAAACCATATTTAACCACCTGTGTAAGCCACAAACGCTGGTGATTCCTTCTAACATTGCTTTTAAAATAAATCAAAGTGACACCATATTTGAAATACTTGGGACAGGTAATACCCCCAGCTAAGAAGTAAATGAGTTTGGGAACTGTGTAATGCCTATGAGCAAGAAACAAGCCTCCTCTTTCTTAAATCTAATTATTCTAGACAGTTTGTACTTTTGTTTACATACATTTTCACTCTTCCCAATTTTAGCAGAGCAGCACCTCCACAAAAGATACAATGGATTACTGAACATATGCAGAAAGTTTTAGGGAAAAAAATAATGTTTTTCATGGCCAACACACTACTCAAGCACAAAGCACAAAGAGACCCTTTATAACAGCTATTCAGAAGGAAACTGTGTTAGGAGTGCAAGAGCACTCAGTCCCTCCTATGAGCTTCAAACTACTGCAGAAGGAAAAGGAATCTATTCCAGTGAGAAGCAATGCCTGTGAAATGGATGCAAGTGCCCTGATTGTACAGCTACAAGCTTACTCATTCACAAGAAAACACACAGACAGAAGGACAGGTAAGCAGACACCTTCACAGATAAAATGAGAGCTTGGTCAGAGGAGAAATTTGGATTTTACTGATTCAAATGCACAAGCTATTCCTGTCTCACCAATGCCCTGCCATTCAGACACCTATCTACAGGATCACAGCCCACTTCTTGAGCATTCCAAAGAAAACGCAGACATGTTTTCTTTTGTGCTACTCCTCACACACTGAAGAAGCTCCTCACACCATGTAGAGATACCTACATTACCAACACTACTTTGTTTGAGGGAAAAAAATAAACATCCAATGTGGAGCTTTCAATATCATTAAAGAATGTGGCCACGTCAGGTGAACTGTAACACACCAGAACTATAAAAGAATGATGCTCTCTTGAGTTAAAACACAATAGAAGTTTAGAGTAATAATGTAACTGTTTCAGAACTGCACAAAGTGTGGTAACATCAGATAAATAAATGAACCAGGCCTGCCTTCAGTGTCAGGTTTCACTGCAGAGGTTAAGGCTGTTTGGTGTGGGATTTTTATCCATGTCAAATCCTGGTGAACTCACTTTCACTGAAGTCTTTAATACATCGCAATATTAACATGCAAAGACCTACCAAACGGTTCTCATCAAATACTTCAAAAAGGAGTCTGTGTTTCTGAGGATTAACCTGGGAAAAAGAAGTACAGTAACAGTTAATACATATACTGAATTCTAGCATTTTTCTTCAGCAAAATCTCCATGTCTACACAGGAGGAAAGAAATATCTAAGATCGATATTAACAGCAAATCTACAGCTTGCTGCCATTTTATTATGCAACACATTTCCATCAGAACCAATAAGCCACGACTGGTGCTATCCCAAACTGTTTCATCGTTCCATGTGCAGGTTTTTAAACATCCACAGAACGAAGAACATAACATCAAGACTGAAAATGTAACATTTTTATTAGTGCAAGAGTTGACAACTCTATTTCTAAGGAAAGCAGTTTGTGAGCCTTTTAGAACATTAATTACAGAATTATTTCTGAATTAAGGAAGGTGTTCTCAAGTAGGGAGAGCAGCCAGTAGTTTTTTCTCAATGTGTTATCATAATGTCCAACAGGTAATAAGTCTGTAAACAAAATCACTTACTCTAAATAAGAGTTCTTCATTCCACTTTGGATTTATGGACTATGTAGGAAGGAAGAAAAAAGAAAAAAGGAAGAGAGCATTAGTTTTACTGACAATTCCACACTGCTGCCTTTTTTGGTATTTTACATGTTTTATCCCGTGTAACAATCCACTTCAGAAGAAAATACAAAAGCTTTAACTTTGATATTGCAGGTAAAAGTCAGAGGAGTTTTGTGCTGTTTAATACAGTGCAGAATGGAGCCAATTTATGCAAGTATTCTCAGATTTTGCCTATGCCGTGGAAGCACAGAAGGTGCATGAGACAGTCATGAAAAGTTAATTTATGGTATATCTCTTCAGTCATAATCACTGCCTTCTTCTCAGTCCAATACCCACAGTACTTACATGCAAACTCGTGTTAATCCTGAGATTATGAACTCACAGCAAATGCCAAATCTCTA